TGCTGCCAGGGGACAAGGGACAGGTCAAGAGGAAATGGCCTTAAGCTGGGCAAGGGGAGGTTCAGTTTGGATACTGGGGAAAATTTCTTCCTGGAAAGGTTGGTCAGGCACTGGCACAGCTGCCCAGGACGGTGGTGTGATCACCACTCCTGGAGGGATTCAAAAAACATATGGATGTGGCACTTGGGGACATGGGCTAGTCGTGGCCTTGGCAGTGCTGGGGGAACTTACAGGGCTTTTCCAAACTCAGCAATTCTATTATGCTGTGACTGATCCAACCCTTATCAGGGTGCCAATCCTTTGCTGTAGCCCTTACTATTTCCCCTAATGAGTGGTAGATTAAATCAGGCCAAATGGTCATTCTGGTCCCACCTTTCACAAACTGTAGGAGAGCTGGTGAAACGTGATGAGTTCCCTGAGGTGCAGGGACTTCTGCATCACCCAAGGGACTTTGTGCCACCCTCGGGCAGGCTCACGGAAGATATCCAAGGGCTTTCTGGGATTTCTGAGTTCCCCCATAGCCAGGATTTGGTTAGTTTCCCAAAATATATCACCTTCTCCACTCTTGTTGTCATGTAAGCATGTGTCTGGAGAGGAGGTTTTGGATAAAGATGCAGTGGGTTTAGGAGAGAAGAGATTTCTCTCACTGGCCACAAGACATCCACCACCTGTTGTGGCCAGGGGAAATGTCACTCTTCAGTGAACAGCTTAGAAAATTATAAAAAAGATCAGTTTTCAGCTTCTCCTTCTGTGGGCTCTGAAGGAAAGAGAAAGATAACAGGCTAGAAAAATCCATTCAACATTCAGTTGTCCTTTATCATCTAATAGGGAAGAATATAAGCAGATGGATAGTCTCAGGTGGCAATGAGAGAGGTGCAGGTACAGAAAGTTTTCACAGCTCTACCAGAGTTTGTAAATATGCCTGGAAAAGCTGCTTAATCTGACTCTGTCTCTGTCCCTCCTCTTTAATGGCTTGTTGTGGTGCTTCAAAGCCAGTGGTTTGGAAATACTGATTAGTGCCCTCAAGGTGTTGTTTGCTATGGAGATGGGACCCCAATAAATCCAGGACTAACGGATTCAGAGCTGCCAAGAGCTCCTGTGTGCCGAGCCACACAGCATCCCAGTGCTCTGAACACAGGGCCTGGACCATCTCTCTGATGAGGAAAGACTGCAGGAGCTGGGCCTGGTGAGTCCAGAGAACACTGAGAGGGGATCCCATCAATCCAGAGAAATACCTCCAAGGGGTGTCAGAGGATAGTGACAGACTCTTTTCAGTGGGGCCCAGTGATAGGGCACCGAAGCAATGGCCGTAAACTAAACCCTAAGAAATTCCACCTCAAGATGAGGAAGAAGTTCTTTGCACAGAGGAGGGCAGAGCACTGGAACAGCTGCCCAGAGAGAGTGTGAAGTCTCCTTCTCTGGAGATACTCCAAACCCACCTGGGAGTGTTCCTGTGTCACCCGGTGACCCTGCCTGGGCAAGGGGGCCAGACTGGATGATCTCCAGAGGTCCCTTCCACCCCAGAAATTCTGGGGTTCTGGGATTCTGTATATCACTATTCCACACTGTGGTGGCTGGAACCAGCTTCAGAGCATGGCCCAAGGGTCTGTAAACACATCCCCCTTCCCAGTTGTTGGTAGCCCATGAAAGACCAATCAGTGCAGACATATCCAAGCTTCTCTAATTCTGGGGTGAAAACACAATTTTTTTTCCAACTGTTTTCTTTATATAGCCCCAAGAACCCTGTGGGATATGATCTAACAGAACTGTGCCAATATCCCAGTTAAAAAGGACTGTGTGACAGCCAACAAATCACAGTGAGACCATCTACTCCGAACCATGACAAGTTTGAGGTGTCCCCTGCTTCTCTCCCTGACTTTCTGCTAATGTAGGAATATTTCCCCACAAAATTATGCTCTGTGCTACCTCTGCCTGGTGTTGCAGTGCAGGGGAGGAGTGGGTGATCTTTTCCTAGATCAGGAAAGGATGGGTGATACTTCAGGAGAAACTTGGAGTCTCCCAGGCCACATTCACAGCTTCTTAGGAATTTGATGTGCGGTACCTCTCATCACAAGAATCAAGGTTTTGGAACGACAAAATAGAGATTTTATCAAGGTGTTCATAGCAATTATATTCTGTTGAAAACCTATTTACAACACAGGAAAGTTTGCAACAATTTACTATGAAGGAAAGGCAGACAGAGATAATTCAAGATTTCCCTTTTAAGTAGAAGGATTCTTTCTCTAGCTTAGCACTGCAGATTGTCCCTGGGGCTGTCTACATGTCCTGTCCCTTGAGCCAGGGCTGGCACACCTGGGAATGCTTGGATTGTTCCAAGAAGAGGCTGACACAAAGATGTGATTCCTCACTACCTTTTTGTTGTGTGCTTTCCAGCTGGGAAATTAGCTTCCAGTTTGTTGCTCACCTCTTATAAGCACTTGATGACTGAGCACAACAATGCCATAGAAATACTGGAGGGTTGGACATTTATAGAATACAATAATGGACTTGTATAGGTTGGAAAAGCCTTCTGAGATCATCCAGTCCAACTATTGCCCCAGGACTACCACTAACCCAGTAAATTCCTCCAAGGAATGGGGACTTCACCACTGCCCTGGGCAGCTGTGCCAAGACTGAGAAATCCTTTCAGGGAAGAAATTTTCGCAATATCCAAACTAAACCTCTGCTGGTGCAACTTGAGGCCATTTTCTTTTGTCCTGTCTCTTGTTCCCTGGGAGAAGAGCCTGACACCCACCTAGGTCCACCCTAGGTCAGCTAATTTCTTCCACCCCCAGACTTTGTAACTCAAATTTCTCTTCCACAATGCACATTGTTAAAACATGTCCAGCCTTGTATCCTGAAAAGGGACCACACAGGACCTTAAGATAGATTCAGGGCTGTATTAAGGTGGAACAAACAAGACACTCATCTGGCTTCTTCAGGCAAAATGGCACCAAATGCTGTCTTTCAGGTAAATTCAGGCAATTTCAGGCAAGTTCAGGCAATTTCAGGCAAGTTCAGGCAAATTCAGGCAAAGACTAAATTCAATGTGGTTTCTGTTGCCCTCAGCACTGTCACAGCTGTGGCAGCGTTGGGGAAGGAGGGTTAAAGGAGATGGAGAGGGATGGAGAGGAACTTTTCATCAGGAACTGGAGGGACAGGGCAAGGAGGAATGGCTTCCCACTGCCAGAGGGCAGGGTTACATGGGATATTGGGAGGAAACTGTTCCCTGTGAGGGTGGTGAGGCCCTGGCACAGGTTGCCCAGAGAAGCTGGGTCTGCCCCTAGATCCCTGGAAGTGTCCAAAGTCAGGCTGGATGGGGCTTGGAGCAACCTGGGATAGGTAGAAGGTGTCCCTGCCTATAGAAGGGGCTGGAACATGGTGAGCTTTAAGATCCCTTTCCAACCCAAACCATTCCAGGATTCTGTGTGTGAGGCCAGCTGGGGAAGAGAATGCCTGCGTCCCTCCTAGTGCAAGCAAGCACCAAGACCCCCTGGTTGCAGGATCAGGGAAACAGAAGCAAGGGAGATGGAATTCACCACAGCAATGTTTAAGTTCATGCACTTAGAAACTAAAACCAACAAGTTCTTTTACAATCTGGAAAAAATCTCAGCCATGCTGATGAATCATAGGAAGGATATGAGCATGACCTGGGCACTGCTGTGCTGGAGATAAAGGAAATTCTGGAATGCACCAAGAATGTACATTTCCTGTCAGGACGGGGAATGTCTAGTTTGTCCCTAGGAGTCTCACCTGGAGCACCTGGTGCCTGTGTGCAGGGTGGGATCTGGCCAGGAAGACAGGCAGAGGAGGTGATTAGGCTGAGGAAAATCCTAGGGGAGCTTGTTTTGTCAAAAAACACCAAAGGGTTCCTTGCTTGGATCAGCAGAGAGAGGCCTGGGAGCAGGCAGTAAATATTAGGAGGATGATAAAGGATGAAGAAAATTAGGATGAAGCTGGCAGGATAACAAATGTGTACAAAATGCTGGACATGGGGTAAGGCTGCCTGTAAACTTGGAGAGAAAAGCCTGTCTCCTATCCCTATGGGAGAACTCCCACGTGCCAGTTAAGCTTCTGTATGGATTAGGGAAATGGAAAGTTGGTGCTGCCAGCCAAAGCTCAGGCTCAGGTCACTGCCTGGACCAGGAGCAGGGGAGATTCAGGAATTCCCTCTGTGCAGAAGAAAGGGATGTCTTTGGGGCTTGGTGAGGGCAAGTGGGAGTGTGTGAGGAAGAGCAGCTGCGGGCACAGCCCCTCAGGGTCTGCGGGTCGGCAGGAGCTCTGACAATCCCCGGGGAGTCAGGTCTGCAGAGCCCGGAGCACTCGCTACCTGCTGCCTCCATCCCTCCGGTGGAAGCAGTCTGCCAGCACCTCCAGCCCTTTCCTGTGGGGCAGACCGCGAACAGCACCGATCCCAGGCTGCAACGGGATAAAGAGAAAAACTTCCTCTGCAGTGGGTATTTCCTTGCCGATTTTAGCCAAGAGCTGTCACTGCTGCAGCAGAGGCTCCCCCAATCCCTTTGTGGCCACGCTGCCCACTTTAGTAGCCCCCCATCCCCCATGACACAGGCTGGGGCTGCCTCCTCCACCCCCCATTCCCGGCCTGCCGGCTCGTGCATTTTTCCCTGTTTTCTCACTAGGTTGGCCCATTGCCTTTAAAAGGCGAAATGCTCCGGACTAAATTTGGTCATGTAGCTCTGCACGGTTCCCTGGAATGTCCTCGGGTTTCAGGCTCCTCTGATAGCACCATTCCCCGCCTCCCGCCGGGCTCCATTGGCTTCCCAGCGCCCGAACCGCCACTGGATCCTGTTATTGGCCAACTCTTGGGCCGAGGGGTGTCCCCTCGGGATAACCACCGAATCTCGGGCTGGAGAGCTGCTGAGATTTAACACTTCAGCACCTGCTGCCGTTCGGGAAGCAGCCTTGGAGCTTCGGCTTCTTTTTTTTTCTCCTGCTTTGGGTACCACACAACCGCCACCGTGTCTCGCCAGCGAGCCAAGATGTCCAAAGTGGCCAAATACCGGCGACAAGTTAGTGAAGATCCAGATATAGACAATTTATTGTCTACTTTGTCTCCAGAGGAGATGGAGGAGCTGGAAAAGGAGCTGGATGTGGTGGATGCGGACGGGAGCATCCCTGTGGAGCGCAGTCAGACAAACCAATCAGAAAACTCCTTACCTGGCCCACAGAACTGTGACACGGCGCTCAACCACCACGACAAGGACACCAAGAGGCTCCTGCAGCGGGAGCACTCGATAGACGTAAGTCACGTCCCCACTGCTGCTGCGGGAAAAGTGGGAACACACCTCGAACCCCCCCTTCCCCGGGCTGAGTGAGGGACGAGATGGAAAACACAAAACCTGAGAAAGGCTTGCGCTTGCTGAGGAGGAATAGCTGTCCTGGAGAGACCAGGGAGCTGGTCCTGGCACTCTGGGAGGAAACAGAGTGTCCCATAAAACCCTGGTGTTACTGGTAAAGCCAAATCCTGTGTTGGTGGCAGGGATTTTCTCCCTGCCCCTTCTCTAACATCCCTGGGCAGGGCTGGGAGCGGAGCTGGGATTCACAGGAGGCTGCTGGACGGCCGGTGCAGTGACAGTGATGCCACGGGCTGCATTTTTTCTTTTCTTTTTTTTTTTTTCCTCCCTCCCCTTTGGGGATATTCTTATGCAAAAGATTAAACAGTCTCTGGTTCTTGTGGAATAAAAATGTTTCCTGCTCTGTGGAAATCACATCGAGAAGCAGGTTTTATCCTGTGCCATTTGTTTTGCATTTATTGTTCACTTAAAATTCCTTCTTTTAGTTTGATTTGGGTATATTTAGCTCCCTCTCTGCACCTGGCAAATTCTTTAAGAGTTTGCTTGGAGCTCGAGAGCTTTATGTCAGTCCTTTTCCTCTTTTTGTGTTGTGCCTTAGTGGGAGACAGTCCTGCTTTTCTGTAGCATTTATTAACTTCAGTACTAAGAGTATTTGCTATGTGCTTTGTGCTTGGAAGCCTGGGAAGTGTCTGGTTTCCCTAGTTTTCATGGCAGGCTGAGCCAAAAAATGAAAAACAGCGATTCTGCAGCAGCTGATCCATGTGGCCATGGGTGGTTTCATGTCGCAGGCAGGATTCACATCTGCTGTGCCAGAGCTGGAGAGTTCTGGCAGCACAAGCAGTGCCAACTGTTGTGGGGCACTGCTGTGCTCTGGCTCTGATTCCAGATCTATCCCAGGTCACCCACCTGTACCCTGGGTCTTCCAGCTGGGTGATCAATCTGTAACTACCCCAGAGCACTTGGATATTTCTCTTTCTGGATATTTATGGAGTTTATTCAGGAGGGTCCTCTCCTGGCTGTGGCATAGATACCCTTATTCCCTTCTAAATATTGGGGTGAATGGGGATGAAAATTGCACCAGTAGGAAAAATAACTGAAGCTTGATTTCGGAGAGCTGAACAAGGGGTTAAATTGTTCCTTCCCACCCCTGTCCTGGGCAGCCTAGGAGCTCACTCTGGCTCTGAGGATAAAGGAGCAGCTTTCACCTTCTATATGTGGTGCTTGACATGGGCTGGGGGACAGTGAGTGCCGTGCCCCTCACCACAAGGGCTCTGCCTTGATTTCCTCACCAGTGGAAAATTTCCCTATGGTGGGGAAGTGCAGATGCTGCAGGACAAACCTGCCTGGAGAGGGAAATGCTTTTATGTAGGACCAGTCATCCCGGTGACCACTGTTTTGCAGGTGATCCCAAGAGATGACACTAAAAAATGTGCTTTTTCAGGTGGGGGGGACATTTGGGTTTGACATGATTTGTGTTGCTGTTTCAGTGTTAACTGTTGGAACATGAGGGCTTGCTTGGGAATTGGCATAGGGAAGTGTCCATGACCAGGAGGAAGGGAGGAAATTTGTGAGTTTTGTTAAAAAGATATCTGGCAAATTGCCTGATTTAACATAATGTTGTTTGGAAATGCCTGAGAGTGTATGTGCAGTGGGAGAAGAATTGGGGTGTGGAAAGGGGTGGCCTGGGGAGGAGAGACACCTGGGTTATGGTGTAGGGCTCTGGCTGGAGGGGAGGGCAGCACAGGGGTCCTGGAAAATCTCCTGCTGCCCTCTGAGTTAAGGAGGTTCAGGCTGTGGAAGACAAAGCAAATTGGCAACAGGTCAAGTTTGTCAGTGAAAATGGCCCAGTTTGATTGTATTGCAGTAACTGGATAGGGCAGAACTGACTTTCATCTTCTATTTCAATCCCTGGAGGCCAAGGAAAAAAAGTATATCCTACACCCCTTCCTCCCTGCCATTGTTAGGATCTGGGATTAACACCTAGAAAATGCCAGTTTACAGCGCTGGCACAGCAGATCATGCTGGTGGTAGAGAAGGGCTGTCTTCTGCCATGGGGCCCAAGGATGGGGTGGGATGGGATGGGATCATCAGACCACATGAACAGTCAGAAAAAACAGTGCAAGAAGCCAACTCTCTCAGTTCCTCTGTCCAAGGAAGCCCCAGGGCTATGTTTTGCTGAAGGATGGAATGAGAACATGAAGCCATCCAGAGCACCCCAGGCAGGTGTTGAACTCTCCCCCAGCTGTTCAGGGCTCTGAGGTCTCCAATGACAAATCCCTCTCATGTGTCAGCAGATTCCATGTTGTGCCAGCCAGCACAGGCATGGTGGCTGCCCTCCCACGGGCTTGGCATCCCCCCAGGGCGTGTAGGCATCACCCCATACATGTCCCTCCCAGCCCCTCTCATCAACAGCTCCCAGTATTCTGAAGCAAATCCAGGGGAGGTCACAGACATGCTCTGAGGGCTGTTACCCTCTCCTCTGATCTGGAGGCAGGCTGGGAGAGCTGGGGATGTCCAGCCTGGAGAAGAGAGGGCTCCAAGGAGATCTCCTGAAGAGGCATCACAGACACAGGATAACATCTTCTAGATGTTCACAGGTAATTCCCGCTGGAATTACCTCCCATTCCTTCCCTGACCTTGTGCCTGTGCTTCAACACCCCCTCCCACCCCCTGGCCTGCTCACACATCTGCTTCTGGCTTGTAAAAGTTTCTCTTGAAGACTTAAATTAGGAAGGCCAGGCACTGTGTCTGTGATGTCTCTTCAGTAGGGAGAGACAGGAGGGCAGATTCTCGTCCTTGGTTCATGGAATCATGGAATGGTTTGGGTGGAAAGGGACCTTAAAGTTCATCCCATTCTAACCCTGCCTGGGCAAGGACACCTTCCACTATCCCAGGTTGCTCCAAGTCCCATCCAACCTGGCCTTGGACACTGACAGGGATGGGACAGCCACAGCTTCTCTGGGCACCCTGTGCCAGGGCCTCACCACCCTCACAGGGAACAGTTTCCTCCCCATATCCCATCCAACCCTGCCCTCTGGCAGTGAAAAGCCATTCCCCCTTGTCCTGCCTGTCAGTCCAGGCCCTTGTCCCCAGTCCCTCTCCAGCTCTCCTGGAGCCCCTTTAGGCCCTGCAAGGGACTCTGAGGCCTCCTTGGAGCCTTCTCTGCTCCAGGTGAACACCCCCAGCTCTCCCAGGCTGTCTCCAGATAAGAAGGGCTCCAGCCCTCAGAGCACCTCTGTGGCCTCCTCTGGACTTGCTTCAGAAGTTCCATGTTCTTCTTATGTCCTCCCTGCTGTTCTTCCATACCTCCTGATGGGAATCTCTGTTGTGGGACATTGTGTGTTAGCTGGAATGTGCAGGAACCCCTCCAAAGTGCAAAATAAGGTATTTTGAAGGGAAATGTTGAGTTTCTGCCCATCTAACAGTTCTTGCAGTCATTGCCCTGTTCTTGGACTGGTGCCAGGCACCTACATTTCCACCTAAATACTGGGAGAAGTGGATATATTTAGAAATATTGTTAACTCCATAATAACACATCTTCTTAGTGATGAAAAGGGCAAACTAGGGTAACTAGGAAGCAGATTATAAACAGCCCAAAATAGATGTGAGCTTTGCCCCTGCCTTTCCACACTGGACTGCCAAATTCCCATCTTGGTGATGCAGTAATAAATTAATCTTAATTTTGTCTTGCTAAGGAGTGGACGTATAACCAAGCTCAAGGGCGAAGCTTGGGCCAGTGCCCCTCTCTGAATGTACTCAACATGGTCCATGTGTCATAGAGGCTGGTCATGAGTAGCTAAATGAAGAGATGATTTCTATTAGCTGATGGCTCTTTATTGTCACAGGCAAAGGCATAACAAGAAAAGTTCCAGTTAGAAACATGCTGTGAAGTTGGTGCTGTGGTATTAAACTGCCAGAGGGCAGAGTTAGATGGAATATTGGGAAGACATTCTTCCCTGTGAGGGTGGTGAGGCCCTGGCACAGAGAAGCTGGGGCTGCTCCATGCCTGGAAGTCTTCAAGGCTGGGTTGGATGGGGCTTGGAGCAACCTGGGATAGTGGAAGGTGTCCCTGCCCATGGCAGGGGGTGGGACTGGATGATCTTTAAGGTTCCTTTCCACCCAAACCAGTCTAGGATTCCATGAGTTACCTGGGGCACAGCTGACTTGCTGTCACTTGAAATCCTTGTATCATGCCTGGGATTTCTGTCCAGAAGAGGAAAAGCTGTGTGTGCCAGGGCACAGGGGTTCTGTGCAGCTGTCCGTGTGGGATAGGTTTCTCTGAGAGCTGAGCTGTGTGAGGAAATGTGGTCTGTGGGAGCTGGTCCAGTTCCTCTATTGCTGGTGACATCTATAAAAGCCATGTGTCTGTGCACAGAGCAGTTATACCCTGAGAACACCCCATTCATGGGGTCTCTTCCATCATGGTCTTTAAGGGAATGATCTTTAAAGTCCTTTCCAAGCATAACCATTCCATAATTCCATGATCTTTCCTACTGGCATTTGTTTAGCCCTAAACACTCTCAGGGAACCTCTGCCAGATGGGACCTAGATGAGAAGAGCTATATCATGGGAAGGATCTCTATGTGAACCACACGTGCCATGGACTGGTGCTTTGCTGTATGAGTCCTCCTTAGCAGTTGCCAAGTCCACAAAAGGAAGTTTTACTTTCTGAAATATTCCACAAAATCCATCTGCAGCTGTTCTTGGCTTTCCTTGGATTCCCAACTCACCACAGCACCCTGGTGACTCCCAAAACACCAAGCCCCTGATGGCAGAGACAGCTCCTCCTTGTGATTTCCCTTCTCTAGCATCACCGTCTTCTCTGGGAATGGATGGAGTCTTCTTCCCTCAGTTCATATAATCCTGGAATATCCCGAGTTGGAGGGGACCCACAAGGATCACTGAGTCTAGCTCCTAGCCCTGCGCAGGACAACCCCAAAGTCCCA